AAAAAAAAAAGAAATGGTAGAGCTCAAGCATGAATGAAAAAGCTGAATGAGAGCACAAGACTCTTGAGTTCAAGCTCTGGTGCTAGCACCAAAAAAGAAAAAAGAGTTGGTGTTTGTCACTGCCGAGTGCACAGCACTGAACAAAGCAGATTCAGTGAGATTCAGATTTATAATGAAGCCTCAGCAGACAGTTGAATAATGTCAAGCAATTATATGTGTTATAAAACAAAGTGTGAAAGATGATGTGGCAGAGACTGAAGTGAGTCAGCCTTTGGTAGAATAGTCGAGCTATCTTCTCTAGAGAGGTGACAGACACCATCTGAAGATGAATGGTAAGGTCAGGGTATGTGTGTCTTTGGGGGGTGGTGGTGGTCAAATGGTGGTTCCTCAAATTGTGAATATATGAAACATGCTTTTGGAAGGACAATTGGACTAACTGTCCTCAGGAGGCCCAGGTTCTTGTCTCCTCAAGGTGTGTGTGTGTGTGTGTGTGTGTGTGTGTGTGTGTGTCTGTGTGTGTGTGTGTGTGTGTCTGTGTGTGTGTCTGTGTGTGTCTGTGTACATGCACGCACACTCATGTGCCAATCCTGGGCTTGAACCGAGGGCCTGGGTGTTGACCCTGAGATTTTTTTTTTTTTTGTCAGTCATGGGCCTGAACTCTGGGCCTGGGCGCTGTCCCTCAGCTCTTCAGCTCAAGGCTAGTGCTCGACCACTTGAGCCACAGCGCCACTTGTGGCTTTTTCTGCTTATGTGGTGCTGAGGAATTGAACCTAGGGCCTCATGCATGAGGCAAGGCAAACACTCTACCACTGAGCCACCTTCCCAGCCCCGTCCTTGAGATTTTTGCTTAAGGCTAACACTCTACCACTATAGCTACAGCCCCACTTCCAGTGTTTTTGGTGACTAACTAAAGGTAGAGTTTCACAGACTTCCTTGCCTAGGCTGGCTTCAAACTGCAATCCTCAGCTCAGCCTCCTGAGTCGCTATGATTACAGGTGTGAGCCACCAGTGCCTGACTTATGGCTTTTTTTTTTTTTTTTTTTGGCTGTGGGGCTTGAACTCTGGGCTTGGGCGCTGTCTCTGTGTTCTTGAGCTCAAGGCAAGTGCTCTACTGCTTGAGCCACAGCGCACCACTTTCAGTTTTCTAGAGATTTATTGGAGATACAAGTCTTATGGAATTTCCTGCCTGGACTGGCTTTGAACCACGATCTTCAGATCTCAGCCTCCTGAGTGTTTAGGATTACAGGCGTGAGCCACCAGCGCCCAGCAACTTATAGCATTTCTTAAGAGATCTCTGCCCCTGTCTATAACCCCTAGTTTCCCCCCCCCCCATCCTGGCCCAATGGCATTTGGCTCTAGACTGTGCTAAATAATTCCCCTCTTCTCCAAGGTGGCTGAGCTTCAGGAACAAGTGACAGTCCAGAGCCAAGAGCAGGCCATCCTGGAGGGCTCCCTTCGGGATAAAGCTGCTGAAGTGGAGGTGGAACGGATGGGCGCCAAGGTCTGAGTGTGAAGCAGAGTCTTAGAGAGGGTGAGGAAGCCCCTGGCAGGGGTCTGTGTGCCAGGCATGGGAGAGGCATCTTATTCTTTACCACATCCTCCCAGTCCTTGCAGATAGAGCTGAACCGGGCTCAGGAGGCCAGGCGGCGGCAGCAACAGCAGACAGCATTGGCTGAGGAGCAGCTGAAGCTTGTGACTAGTGCTGTAAGCAGGTATCTGCCATGGAGGGGTGCGTGGTTGAGCACTGCTGCTTTCCTGGCTTCTGAGCCACCTTGGAATTGGAGAATCTCAGGCAAGACAGACAAGAAAGCTGGCAGCTAGAAGGAGATGGCCTTTTGAAAGCTTCTGTGTCTGATTTCTCCTGGGGCACTCCATCTCTATTACACCAAAGCACATTTCACTGTGCTCTGTGGAATGAGGCCCATCTCCTGCCTGCTTCTTTTTAAACCTTTCTTTTTTTTTTTTTTTTTTTGGGTCCAGTCCTGGGACCTGAACTCTGGGCCTGTGCGCTGTCCCTCAGTTCTTCAGCTCAAGGCTAGCGCTCTACCACTTGAGCCACAGTGCCATTTCTGGCTTTTTTCTTTTTTGCTTATGTGGTGCTGAGGAATCGAACCCAGGGCCTCATGCATGCAAGACAAGTGCTCTACCACTGAGCCACCTTCCCAGCTCCTCCTGCCTGCTTCTTGTAGTAGCAGTTTGAACTAAGTAGAGCTGCGGGAGGATCTCTACCTTCAGAAGTATTCAAGGGTAGTGAATGGATACATGCTCTTTTTTTTTTTTTCTCTTTAATAGGCATTTCCTGTCTACTTGGGAAAAAAATTTAATCTATTTATTTGAAGCTATTCCCTATTTGTTCACTAGATATTCATTTAAAATACCGGTAGTTCTTGCCTGTAATCCTAGCTACTCATGAGACAGATTTGAGGATCGAGATTTGAAGCCATCATAGGTGGAAAAGTCTATTTCCATCTAACCTCCAGATTGGAGGCATGGTTCAAGTGGTAGAACACCCACTGTGAGCAAACAAGCTGAGTGAGAGTCCAAGGCTATTAGTTCAAGCCCCAGTATCAGCACAAAAATAAATAAGCTCTACATAAAATAAATATCATAGGCTGGGAATATAGCTTAGTGGTAGAGTGCTTGCCTAGCATGCATGAAGCCATGGGCTCGATTCTTCAGTACCACATACACAGAAAAAGCCAGAAGAGGCTCTGTGACTCAAGTGATAGAGTGCTAGCCTTGAGCAAAAGAAGTTCAGGGATGGGCTGGGAAGGTGGCTCAGTGGTAGAGTGCTTGCCTTGCATGCATGAGGCCCTGGGTTCGACTCCTCAGCACTACATAAGCAAAAAGAAAAAATCCAGAAGTGGTGCTGTGGCTCAAGTGGTAGAGTGCTAGCCTTGAGCTGAAGAGCTGAGGGACAGCGCCCAGATGCAGAGTTTAGGCCCCACAACCAGACTCCCCCCCCACAAAAAAAATCAGGGATAGTGCCCAGGCCCTGAGTTCAAGTCCCAGGACTGGCAAAAAAAAAATTCAAAACAACAACAACAAAAAGCCCAAAACTAATAATAATAAAATAATATAAATGTCAGGTCTGGAGCTGTAGCTTAGTGGTAGAGTGTTCCCATAGCATGCAAGAGGCCCTGGATTCCATCCCCAGTACCAAAAAAAAGAAAAAGTGGGGGACATTTTAATTTTCATGGAATTCAACTAGTTATAAGGAAGCACTCTCCAGTTTCAACCCATTGCAAGCACCTTGTCTCTCTAGAACAGAAAGATAAGCCCTTGACAAAGTTCTACTTTGGAACCAGGAGAAATGATTCTTATTACTGATTTATTACCCCCAAAGTCTTCCAGGCTTAAAGTAATCAAAATTCTAGGTTGTTGCCAGGTTTGTTATGGAGTCTTTATATGATCTGGAGAATTTATCAGGAAATGGCTTCAGTAAGAATCACAGTAAGGGGCTGGGAAGGTGGCTCAGTGGTAGAGCGCTTGCCTTGCATGCATGAGGCCCTGGGTTCGATTCCTCAGCACCACATAAGCAAAAAGAAAAAAG